TGAAACAAACCTTAAATATGGATTAAGTTTGCCGAGAAAACTCGATGTTCTTAACACAATTGTGCCTACAATGCCTTACGGCATAATTATAATTGACCCGATAAATGTAAACGATACCATGCCCAGAGGAAGCGAAAAAGAAAAGGTAAACGTGCCATGAAGATCGTGCTTCCAAGTGGACAGTGCATTTACCTTTTTCTTTTGTCGCTCTTCATCACTCTTGATTGTCACCGTAGTTAATAGGACAACAAGCTCTAGTCAAATAGTTTCATCTCCTCCCCAAAGCTGGTAATATCAGGAATAATTCCTCCTTTATGTTTTATTGTCACACGATTGCCGACTAAATCATTGAGTATGGTGGTTGGGTCTTTGGCTCCACCATGCTGTAAGAATTTCGACCTGAGAGCAGATCCTGCTGTTAGCGACAACGGGTCTTCCTGGAATATCCTTTTCCATATTGTTGCAGAAAAGCATTTTGCATACAAGTAGCTGTAGTAACCTGTAAGTCATTAACTGCTGCTGAGTAAATTAACTCTTAAGTCAAACATACAAACAAGTTAATAAAAACTATTTTGTTATCTTATTTCCACTTGTGTCAGCAAGATGACTGTTACATGAGTTTTAGATTATTCATTATGATTTCTCTAATTTTTCAGAAGAAAACGAGAAATTTTCAGAGCGAATAAACCCATAGACTTTAATCGGGCATACCTGCACCGTAATTAACAAGATGACTGAACCGGGTGTGCCAGTGTGTGCCTTCCACGGGCCTCCAACACGTGTGCTCTCTTTTCAAATCGGTGATTATGGAAATCGCCTCATTGGCCGAGGATGGCTGTGATGCGTGCAATGTCTGGTCGATCAATGAATAAAAGACCTGGGGTGGAAAAAAAGGCATTGTAATGAATAAAGTTGATCTCCACAGCCTGTTACCAAATAAAGCAAAAGCTAAATTCATCGAACAAACCTGGCGTTGCAATTCGGTTGCAGAAAACATATGCTTGGCGCCTTGTAGAGATTTTACCAGGTTTTCGGGAATCGGATCACCTGTGGAATAATGCTTAGCGAATGTCCTCAAAAACCGATAATCCCATGCGTAATACCTGTAGTCAACAGAAAAATAAACAAGAAATATGAAAAATGCTCCAGCCTCCGGTGGCTGGTGTATGATTATCATGGGGATACATACAAAAGAACATGACCACACAAACATGTACACATTTGTAGTAATCAAATCACAATTCACATATGTATAGTTTCTAAGCTATCTAGCTTAAGAGTAATTATGAAGTCATGCTTTAGAATTTCTCATTTTCTGCTTTCAACTTTTTAACTATTTGGAACGAAGCATCTATAAGTAGCAATGTGCTCACTCGAAGAGGTTTGATGGTGTTTCAGCAAAATCAAGCATCACCCTAGTCCCTGAGAAATGTTGATAATCCTGAAAGAGCAATCGCAATAGATAATTACGATATAGGGTTCATGAGACAAGATTGAATCCACTAAAGTCGATCAAGGAATTGGCTGGTACCGTTCTTGAGAGCAATGAGTGAAGAGCATGCCCAAACTCGTGAAACAGAGTTTCTACATCAGAATGGTGAAGAAGCACAGGTTGGGAACTCGATCCTGAAAAATTGCAAACAAGTGCTACAATCTGCAAACAAACGCATTAGGCATTTCCATTATCAATTACTTCAAATATATTTGATGGTACAACAAATAAACAGGAAATGAGGCAATATAAGCATATACCGGTAACTGGTACTCTGTCTCTGAGATTCTGCGCCCCCCTTTGATAGCAAAATGTGCAAAAATAGGATGCTTGTCCTTTCTTGATTTCAAATCAAGGTATAGGCACCCCAAGTCCCCCTGCATTACAATATATCATGCAACAATTAAAGGATGAATTTATGTCCTAATGTATCCCATTTAGATGTGCATAATATATTCTATGAAGTTTTACCTCCAAATCAACAAAAATAAAGTAATTGCCCAGAATTTGTGACAATGCAACAAATGCAACTGAGGCATGACTTTTCCAACATAAAGAAGAAAAAAAATGGAAGATTAGGAATAATTTGACAACTCGTCCGTATAAAATTTTGATTAACAAACTCAAGCATGATGCAAACGAACCATATTGGGTTTATTGACACTCATTAAATAAGAGCACAAGTATAAATATATATAAACTTGACAGTTCACCCTTTTCTCACTCTCAACGAGAACAGACAAATCAGAAAACACATGAAAAGTAATAGGAGGCAACCCACTGATATGCAATAAGCACGCAAGGAAAAGAAGTCGCCTAGTGCCATATGTGCCAAGGTTACACAGTTTTAGCCTTGGATATTCTCCCTGTAAAATGTGTAGGTAAAAATTACTTAAATCAAAGATGTCCACTAACACACCTCATCAGGATGGTGCAGAGATAATTTCAGCACATCTGGATGCCAGGATTCACCACGGCCTAGAGGGATCTGATGAAATGTCACACCAAACAGTGACCCAGCCAGCACTTTTAACCCCTCAATACATTGTGGCAGGGAAAAATATGATGCAACAACCTGCAAGATAATCCACATGATTATTTATTGTCTTTAGACTGAAGAAGGTAACAAAATATAAGCATATACAAAAGAAGTGACCTCAGTTAATAGAGCATATATCAAGCGAAATAGCATTGTCACAAAAACAGAATATTTTCATTTATACTCGGGGCCAGTAAATGGTTAGGATGGAGGATAACAAAATATAAGCATATAAAAAAGAAGTGACCTCAATTAATAGACCATATATCAAGCGAAATAGCAGTGTCACAAATACAGAATATTTTCATTTATACTCGGGGCCAGGAAATGGTTAGGATGGAGGATAGAGAATGTAAACTGAGTGTGAATATGAATTGAAAGTTCTAAAAGATAGTAAGTATTTCATCCAGGTTTACTAAATAAGTTTGGCTGGAAGTAATTAACTCGCCCAACCATCAATAGCAACCACTTAATTTTAGCACAAATTTTATCCTCCAATTATTATTTCTGTTTGGTTTAAATGTAATGGTAAGCAGGTTCATAAGGATTCTGCAGTTTGTCCGAAGATATCAAATACCAGAAAATTTGGGATTTATGCTTTTAGTCTTTTGCTATTTTCACATTAAAGTTGACCCTACAAGATACTGAAAAATCAGATAGTACAACATGGCCTTGAAGAATGCTTATGATCGACATTACACAACTTCTCTGTTTCTAAGGAAAACAGAATGATCTAGTTCGTAGTTAGATAGACAGAAGCAAAATCATGCAAGACAATGTGCATAGTGCTACAGCCTACACACTATCTTGAATCTTGATGCACTCACACAATGTATGAAGAACTGTACATGAATAAGAATTACAAGGTTATAAGTTAGGAATTAACTGAATAATCCAAGTTGTGAGCAGAAGCTTTCATCATTCTGGCGAAGTACGGCTCGTCCCAAGGCTCCAATTCTGAAGCTGATTGGCCGATTGTTGCTCTCTTAAAATCCAAAATTTTCTTAAGCTCCTGTAATGAGAAAATCTAATATTGTAATAATAATAACAATAAAAATAGTAGCAGTAGTAGAATTTAAAACACAATAGAACTACATTTCTTTATTTTGAATATGAACAATGTAATCATACCTCCTGAGCCCTAGGTCTGACCATTTTACTCATATCATGCAGGAATGATAGAACAACTTCAGGTGATGAAGCCATACTTTCCTTCTGAGCAAATTCAGCATAAGATTTATATCCCATGATCTGCCCACAACGATCACACAGCAGGATCATGGAAATGGTAATGATCACAAATTTTGTACTTTGAAAAGATAACAGGAAAGCAATATAAAAAATTAGGGACATAATGAATTGCGCTTCTCGAGATGCAATAAAGATAATAAGCATACGGAGTTTACATTACAATTTGAAACTGTATCCTTTTCTTCTGTCATCCACATGGACTGGTACAATGGCACATCAATCATTCAAAACATTTCAGAATCCCCGTTTTTGTTGATTTAAGTGCAATGGGTGGTTATAGGTGAAATTATAGGAGAACACTTTATGGTTTTCCTGGGAACAAAACTAAAAATGTTTTCTCTGTTTCAGTATTTCCCAAGTCACAACACATATATGTAATTGTAGAACCTCTCACTTCAGACAAGGCATCTCCTCCTAATCATGACAATTTAAATTTTAAAACCTATTTTCTATCTTCACGCCCAATTTACTAATTGCTTGTGAAATAATATGCAGGAATTCTAACCTCAGAAAACTCATGACGTGCCGAAAGAAGCTTATCAAGGACTACCAGGTTTGCAGCTGGGGTAGAATTTCCTCTGATGTAAGCCAGCCTTCTAACCTGGACAGATAGAGAGACACACATACTTAATTAAGTTAAATAAGACAATGTGCTGATAAGGGAATGAGTTGTGCTATTATCAATTCTTGTGAAGTAAAATCCAATCCATCAGAAAGAGCCCATAAACCAAAATACAGTATGCAAATCATCAACTAAGGTCCATTATCACATTCCTGTAACTACCATATTTCCTGACAATGTACCTAGTGAAAACTTGATCCCGTATAACCTGTTAATTTAATAAACCACTTCTTTGGTATCACAAATAACATCAAAAGAAATCCTTCTCCTCAGTCTCAAGGAAAACCAGAATTAGTTGAAAGATGAAATGTATTTGGTTGGATATATGAATTTCCACTTAGATGGTACCTCATCATCAGATGCCAACTGCAATATAGAACAAAGAGTACTAGGCACTGTCATTATACGTAATCCTCTCTCTTTGGAGTCATTTTTCAGACCTGTTGACTTCTTTGAATCAAATGAAGGTCGGTAAATGGGCTTGGTAAGATGATGCAATCTTTTTGGGATACGAGATGCAGGAAATATGTCAACATGACCTGGGTCGGTGATGATATTTTCATTGAATCTGATCATAAAGACCATATCAAAACAAACAAAGAATTAAAATAAGTTTCTAGCTGAAAAGACTGGAATAGTCAACTCGGTCAGCAAATAAAGCTTTCGCACTGAGACCTGGCAGCAACTATCATGCCCCATTTCCTCCCTCGAACCTCTAAGATTGTTTTTAAGAAGAGTATTACACAAACATATATGAATATAAATATACATCCTTAAAGTAGCATTTTCTTCATCTGTAGATAACATGATAGTAAGACACAATTGGCAATCCCTACTTCTGTAGACCCTGTTTATGCCAAATCGTGTTAAAGTGTATTAAACCCGGGTGCCGCCTAGCGCCTAGCCCAATTTTTTATAAACACTGATAAAAACTGTATTTAAAGTAACATGACTATTTTTGTAAGACACGCAGACGTGATATCACATGTAGTAAACTAATACACAACTAAGATGTATTTTAAACAAATTTGCTTCATTTAATGTTAAAGACATAAAAAGTCAAGTCTGATGAGAATAAAGGAATTCAGATGTTTCTTAGCAGCTGCAGCTGCACTTACTCTGTGGAAAGCTGAAGTATGTTCATATTTAGCTGATTAACTCTATCCAACTTCTCTGTCAAGGAAAGCAGAGATACTTTTATCAAAGTGAATCGGATAAGTGGAAGAAGATAAACAAGGACTTTGCAAAGATGGGTACCAGGGCTTAGATGAATTCCACCCTTCTCTAAGTCGATACGTAGATGACGGGCGGCCCTTGCAGCTTCTTCGGTAAGCATATGATGATTTTGCTCAGCCTTTATAATAGCATGATACAGACTACAGTTTGAATTAAGGAACTGCACATTATGCACAAAATTATTATACTCAATCCAAAAATGGCAGGTTACAGGTTCTTTTACACCAAAATCCCCTTGCTCAAAAATTTTTCAATTATTACGTTACTTGGGTCACATAAATATATATATATATATATATATAGAGAGAGAGAGAGAGAGAGAGAGAGAGAGAGAGTGAGAGAGCACAAGGCAAAGCTAATAATATTTTCTATCATTGTTCTGCTATAAGAATAAAAAATCCCATTTATTTCTTTCAAGTTTATAGAAAGACTCATCAATGATGTATGAACAAGGGACAAATAATCAGACATCGTAGTTTCAAATTTTATCATCGCACACTTATCTGACACCAGTGTTTCTTTCATAACACTTCCATCCCATAGTTCACCAAACCAGAGCATCTATTGGTTGAAACGGTTTTGAATTGTAAAGCAGGCTCCTAGAAACACTTTAATTTGAATTTCAATGGAAAATATTAGTCATGAATTGCATGTGATAATTTGCAGCCTCTGGATGATACATATACATCCTACATTAGGTCTACCTCATGCCAGTAATAATGCTACGGTGCTAAGAGCTGCACCCCCATTATTCAAGTTTTATAAACAATATATTATATAGTTATATGGCATTAAATTTTTCTCCCTGTACAATTTACAAAATGTCAGTGTATACTATTTTGAAGAATAAGAGGATTAAAACTTGGGCTACTAATGGTTTTTCCTAGCTCTATTCCTACCTCAAGCCTGAAGGAAAATCGAAGGGCCAAACAGGAGTTTCGTGTATTATCCTTTTCAAAGTTCTAAGTCTATGGTTTCCATGAGCATAGCAAAATCCCAGTCACATAATGATAAAAATAAACCACAGCCGCAGCAGTCACCTCACATGTAGATATTCATTTATCCGCAAGGATGCCTTATTTGCCTCCTCAACAAATTCTCTGAAATTCACAATATTGATAATAATAAAGTAAAAACCATTAAACAAATAGTAGTTTGTATACTACAGCAGATATTATTATCTATATGGTAGTTCACCTATCAGGATGTGTATGCCTGCATAACTCAGCAGAGTCCACAACTGTGCAAACCTACAAAGAAGCTCAATAAGCAGCCATGGCAAGAGGTCCCCAGTTTCAACTTCCCCATCTCAAATAGCATCCAGTGGGCACAAAACTCATCAAAGACTCATTTACAAGTGACACTAGCAAACCAATCTCTACAAATTTGCCCAACTTAAGAAAACCAAAAACTAATCAAGAACATACCGTATCAGATATCTCATCCATGGCGTTAATAATTTCCGGAGCTGAAGGCATCCCAGCAATATAATTGACGAGTTCATTAGACCTAATGAAACAATAAATACCAACATTATGCACCATGAACATGAGAAAACAAAAACACACACAAAATTCGTTTTGATTACCGCTCAATCGCATCATCGACCATGCGTTGAAAACCTTTGGGAGTTCTCAAGTGGTCGAACCCGTACAAGCCGGTCTCCTTGCCTGATGGAGCAGCTGCAGAGTAGAGAAAGCGGCGGGCATGACTATAATGCGCCGCCGGGTTACGGATTAGAGCGCGCAGCATATCTGGAGTAGAGCTCGGACCTTAAAGCCACCTTAAACAAATGAACTGATGCGAGATGTATTTCTCGTGGGATATTTTGATCAATTGTCTCCTGTAAAATTTCTCCCGTCCCTGTAAATCTACCCTGTTTCGAAGAGACGAGAGGTGCCCACTGGCCGGTTGAGGTTCGCATTTAGGTGAACCGAACCGTAGGTATATATACCGTTTGCATCCCACTACCCCTCAGAGCTTTTTCATTAATAAATCGATTTTGCGTCCCACAAAATACATTTTAGACTTAGTCGACTCGGACTCCCTCATAATCTAGCCAACACTATAACCGATCTTATCAACTACTTCTCTGACCACGTCCCGTGGACTTTACACACTCGAATCCATCGAGCAAAACCAGTACTTAATCCTAAGCACCTAAAAAGTGTTTGTAAAAAGAAAAAGAAACTAAACAAATTCAGTTCGTCAACAATATAAGGGCGTTGAAGTGTTGTGACAAACAAAATAAAAAGAATAAAAATCTCTCAAACACTCACTTGAATCTTGATGAACGATGAACGATTTGTAGCAGCTCTCTTGTTTTCAATTGATGGTTTGAGTAGGCTTATATACAATCAGGCTTAAATAAATGATATCAAAAATATGTGAATTATATAATTTAATTTCATTCATATTAAATGAAACAACATTTGGAATTTATTAAGTACAAGTTAAGTAAAATATCATTTATTTGTCATTAGTTTTTTATTTTATGTTTTATTACATGAATAGTCAATATCGACATTTTACGAGCCGAAGTGACTTGTACTCCCTAACAAATCGTTTCTAGCAGCCCTGAGTAGAAAATATTTCTGGCTACGCCTCTGTATACAATCTCCTTAAGGTAAGGAGTCTTCACAAAGTTATTCATTTCCCTTTTAGTAGTCAATTTCCTTCTCAATTGATTGCTTTCTGATTTATACAAAATCTTTTATTTAAAGTAAGTTTCCTAGATGTAGAATTCGTGTATGTGATTTGGAGATCTTGAGAATTGAGCTTCCAATGAAAATCTTGTGTTCCCAGTCTGATGTAAGAACACGACTTTCATAAAATAACCGATCTTCCAAATCTTCAAAAATTTTGTGGTGAATCTTTCCAAATCGTTCATCCTTTCATAGTTTTAAGAACACGAATCCTTAGATCTTCTCATGAACGTCCAGAACTCCTTATGCACGAATTGTTCATCCTTTCATAGTTTTTGCCACTTATTCCTTGTCCTACAAGAGAGAGAAAACTAATTGTGACATGTGGTATATATGGTAAGTAAATATATAAGATATATATATTATGTAATCCTTCTCCTAAAGGATTAGAATTCCATAATACATACTTCAATAAATATATACCATATATTATTAATAATAAATATTAGGAACTTAATTAAATCACAAGTAAATAAATAGAAAACTTCCTTTAATTTGCCTGCTTAACAAGAAATATTCTAGAAAACACTTAGGTTTGTCGGACGATGCCAAACCAATATTCTTACAGTTACGTATCCTTAGCTACGGAATCAAAGTCTATGTAGTTTGCTTACCTTACTTAATTGATGAAAGAAGATGGCAAAATGCATGAACGATCTACTAATGGTAGTCAAAGTCGTTGTACTCGGTTCTAGCAATTCCACTAATACTAGTAAAATCATGTGACTCATAGTTGTTCTCTTTGGTAGTTAGCATGATTGTTTGTTCCCTTTGTTCGGCCTTTTTTCAATCACTCGGCAGCATTTGAGCCTCAAGTTTTGTGTCGTCAACCTCAACCGTTGTGCGTCCAATGTATATCATCCCCACTAAATACTTGTTCAACCGCCACAGTTGAAGTCGGGACAAAAAAAAAATCTCTTTGGCCATCAAGCTTAGAACAAGATAAGTGGGATTTATGTTTTACCATCAATCCAAGACATGGAATGTGAGTAGCAAAACTAGTGATATGACAATCGTATATCTGAGATTCGATGACATATAATGATCGAGTTCATCATATACAGTCTCCATATTTCTTATAATCATAGAATTCTTGTGAAGATTATAATTTGAAGCTTATTGTACATAAAAAAATAAAATACATACGCTTTAGGCCGGCCCATTAAGACAAAGAATACAACAATTGGGCTATTCGTGACCGAAATTGAGGATTACGAAAAAGTAGCAGCCCAAGCCATGCTAGCGATGTTGTCCAATACATGTATGAGCGTCGATCTGTTCTCATTCCTTCCTCTAGAAGATTATCGATCTACCTATAGTGTAAATAGAAATCGACAAAGTAAACTGTTAAAGCGACCACTCAGCCAGTCCTATAATCAGAAGACGAGTTTTTGCATGGGGACATGTGCACACCCTACACCCTTAGTTGGGCTCTACGACATCATGATTTTTTCTACTTGTATATAAATTTAGGATGAAAAGAAATTACGTGTTTGTTTTAAAAACTTATTATCCTCTTACAAAATAAAGTACATCTAGTGGAAACCAACGGCTTATATTACGTTTATTTAGATTAATATTGCAAAGCACACGCAATAATCGTACAAAAATTGTAGGTGAGAAATGAAGAGGGTTGAAAACCAGGTGCTTATATTACGTTTTTCAAGTATCTATAATAATTGAAAAAGGAAGGGTAAAAAAAACATTTGAGGAAAGTTTAAGAACATTGGTCAAAAAATCTTTGACTTCCCATTTGTGGAAAGTCTTTTAAATATCAAAAAAAAAA